CTTTGTGATAAAAAATAAATTATTTGCCCAACTCTTTGTATCCTTAAATAATTTGTACTGATGTTAAGATGATTGGTACAGTTTACAGAAAACCTTTGTAAAGTTATTTGCTATATTTTAAAGTTACTGACATAAAAACCATCAATATGTATATTTGTTTACATATAATATTTAAATATGCTTTAAAGATTAATTTTATTTATTCATTTAAAAATATTTGGGCTTAGGTCTGCTTAGTAAAATACTGTAAATGCATAAATATCCAGCTGCTCAGGATGCACACAGACTTGAATGTAAAAACACAAGTGAAGTACAAAATGCTTAATTATGCCACTGTTTAGTCATTTAAATCTGTTATTTATTCTAAATGTTCACAAACCATAACATTCAAAATTTCCTCAGCTTTATTTTGAACCATGGTATATTAAAGTCAAGCAAGAAATAAGAACTTTATCAGAATTTTTCTACAGGACAACACCTCATAAGTAGCCTAGCCTAGCTAGCAAGCTGAAGCTAACCTGGCGCTAACACTGTTTGCTAATGGTGGTGACCAGACATGAGCACACACAGGTTAAATGTGACAAATTTCACAGTATTCAGTTGTTATTTAAACATCCTCCTACCTGGAAACACTGCACAAGCATCACCTGCCTCTTCTTCTCTTCGTGCCTCCTCAGGCTCTGTCGGGTCTGTTCAGCTCACCTGCTGTGTGACGCCAATGGAACGTACCACTTTGAGAGATGGGGGTGGGCCCAAAAACGTTGGCAAAGGGGCCTCTTCACACAACTTAGGTTCAACTTTTTTTCTTGAGCAAATATGTTAGTTTTGTATTGTTTACAGGTTATCTAAACATGCTTTAAATTTGTTGTTGTCATGAAGACTTTTTTTCATGAACCTGATTTTTGTGCCCCTCATGGGCAATAGCCTATATGCCACGGTCATTAATGACGTATTTCCGGTAAAATTCTTGCCACGCTCCTCCCTTCCACTCCCTGCTTACTGCCTATGTTTTTAGCGTGAGCTCCTAGTACTAGTCCGTGAAAAAGTCAAAAAGTTAAAGCATCTGTGAGCTACTGGTATAAAACATGAGTTCTGTTGTGTGTCGTTGTGTTCACTAAGCAGCAGGTACGATCGAGTATTTATGGTGCGTTCACACCGAACGCGATTTCAGCTTCAAAATCGCAGCCAACGCTGAAGTTTGAAGCTCGTGCACTTTGAGGTCAGACGCAGGACATCTGCGCTGCACAGCGACAGCCGCCCCGCCCCTCCCTCCTCTGTCGGGCTGTTTAATGTCGGACGAGGAAGTGGCTTTGCTTTATTTACAGACAGCCAGAACG